AAAAAAAAATAAAAATAGCAGAGTATAACGAGCAAAAGAAACGAACGAACAGAGAAACAAAACATAAAGAAGAGGTAAAATTGTCGTTTATATAATCTATTTATCTACATTATTTCTGATTCTCTTAGGAATAGCTAGATGTTTTTTTTTCTCTTGAACAGGTTAAATCGTACTTCTATATATATATATATTTGTTTATTTATTTATTTTTTAAAAGTATATATATTGATATGTATATTATTACGAGTAGAATGTAAAAAATCCCATCAATACACTGTACTATTATTCTTATTTATTCCTTTTTTTTTCTACTCTCTTCTCTCTCTCATCCATCTATGAAAAGGATTTAAAAAAAGGGTAAAGAGAGATAGAAAACAATTAATAAAAAAAAAGTTTAAAAAAGGTAGTGGTTGTAAAAGTAGATAAATGAGTAGACAGCAACCATCACCACAACAACAACAGCAACAAACACAACCATGGGATCACATCACCGAACAAAATAAACTACTCGATCAGCTCCACTCCTCTGTAATGAACACTCGACACTACGCTGTCTCTATTGGAAATGACCTCCGTGAACAGGAGGGGATGTTAGATGAACTCCACAGTGGAGTTACACTAGCCGCAGATGAGAGCCGCCGACAGAACAGTAATGTAGTAAGATTGTTGAAGGAAAGTGAAAATAGAGGGTTTTGTACAGCTGTGATTGTGCTTGTTGCTATTATGATCCTATTGATCATGATATAATAATCCCTTTTTCTTTCTTTTTTCTTATTATTATTTCTTTATATATATATCTGCGTTTTTCGTATATTGACTATCTTTGTATGTGTTTGTTTTTCTTTTCTTTTTTTCTTTCGTGAGTTGCAGTCCCTCTAGTTGTAGCGCATACATTTATTTGTATGCCATTACTCCCATTTCTCTTACACTAACTCTGTATTCCACCCCCCCCCCACTGTATTGTTCCTACTACAATCTATTCATTCTCTGTTGATATTTTGTAAACTATTATATTCGTCCTTTTCTTTTTTTCTTACTCTTCTGTGTACAGGTAAAAAAAGAAAACAAAGCTAAGCACAAAAGTATTGCAAGAGGGTTTTTTTTTTGTTTTTGTTTTTTTTACGTTCGTCAATATAAACCAAAGAAGACTTGAATTTATAAACATAACAAAGGGAAAATAAGAAAGAAAAAAAAACCGTGACAAGAGATAATGCGACGTTCGTTCTTCTTTCTGGTAAACTTCTCCCCTGTCTTTATGCCAGCCCTATCACCATCTATGGAGACTGGTACTATTGTGGAATGGAAAAAGAAGGTTGGAGATCTTGTGAAAGAAAATGAAGTATTCTGTACTGTACAAACCGATAAGGCAGTGGTGGATTACACCAATACCTTTGATGCAGGATATCTCGCAAAGATTATTCACAAGAATGGAGAAACTGTTCCAGTTGCTAAAACTATTGCTGTACTTGTGGACAGTGCGGAAGATGTTGCAAAGGCCGATGAGTACGTCTGTGAAGATGAAGCGGCAGGAGGTGAAACAACAACAACGCAGGAAGTGAAATCAACAGAAACAGCTGCAGCATCACCTGGAAAGCCATCGGGATCTACATCTGAGCCACCAGAAGGTGTGGACATTCTTTCAATCTTTATGCCAGCCTTATCACCATCTATGGAGACTGGTACTATTGTGGAATGGAAAAAGAAGGTTGGAGATCTTGTGAAGGAGAATGAAGTATTCTGTACTGTACAGACTGATAAGGCAGTGGTGGATTACACCAATACATTTGATGCGGGATACCTCGCAAAGATTCTTCACAAGAATGGAGAAACTGTTCCAGTTGCTAAAACTATTGCCTTGATGGTGAGCAATGCGGAGGATGTCGCTAAATTAGCGAATTACTCCCCTGAAGGCGCTGAGACTGCGGAATCTTCTCCCTCAACAACAACAACAACAACAACAACAACTGCCAAGACTTCTACTACTACTACTACTACTACTAGTACTAATACTCCAAAGGGGGATGTTAAACTCTACGGTGGTTCACTCGATGAGGCTATTGCAGCTAGTGGTCCAGGTGTGATGCGTATTGCCGCCCGGCTTGACCGCAAGACATTAGAATCCATCACCCCTACTGGCAGAGGAGGCCGTTTTTGTAAAAGTGACTTTGCTGGACTGCCGGGATTTAACTACGAGGACGCCAGTCCACCACCACCAGCAACAACAACAACAACAGCAGGAAAAACAACAACAACAGGAACATCTTCTCCTTCGGCTACACCCGCAGGTGCCCCAGTTGTGGGTGCGGCAGCTACTGTAGTGGTGATGTCCAAGGTATTCCCAGTGTACAATTTCAAGATCTCTGATACTGCACTGTTGCAGCAACTCATTCGCACAATGCCGCTGCCGAAACCAAAAAAGGTTAAGGAAGGCAAATAAATTTAAAAAAAAAAATAAAATAAAATAAAAAAAGGGAAATAGTGTCTCTTCATTATCGGTGTTGGGGGGACACGTGTAAAAGAAAGCCATGCAGGAGCAATGTGGACCCATTGTAGTCGCCGGTAAGGATATATATATATAATTACATTTATGAATATGTTCATTTGTGTGTTTAGTGTTTTAATATATTTGTTTCACGGCAATTATCCTCCCTGTTTTTTTTTTTTTTTTTACGGTGTTATTCATTTGGTTTCTCCAATGAGAAAGAAAAAAAAAAGGAGGGATGAAAAGAAAAACGTCCTTTGATCAATCGCTTTGTTAATAAAAATGTTTTATCATTCTACCTTTATTACTAGCAACCGATTATGTGGGCTCTGTGGAAGTAAGCGAGTAGAGAGTTAATACATTATACGAACAAAAAAAAAAGGGCACAACTGAGACAATTCAAAAGCCGTAAAGCCACAAAAGAGAAAAAAAAAATAACAAGAAGGAGATTGGATCCGAGAGGGTAAAAATAAAATAAAGGGGAAAAAAAGAAAAAGTAAAAAAAATAAAGCAAAGGAAGACGAGAAGAATGATGTAAAATGCCTGCTCTAGACTTTTGCGTTTCTTTCCGTCAGGGTGGTACCCTTCTTCAACCGGAAGTAGAAAGCCATTCACGAACGTACACAATGACCAAGAGAAAAATAAAAAGAAAAAAAAAAGAGGAATAGTTTTTATTTAGCGGATTGATCTATTTTTCTTTTTTTTTTTTTTTTTTTTTTTTTTTTTTTTCTTCACTATTTTGATATCAGTGTTAATGTATCTCTCTTGTTTTTTTTTTTGTATTGTTTTTCCTACTTTCCTCTTCCTTTTGTTTTTTTTTTTTTTTCCTTTTCCATCCCCACCACTATCATCACATTATTATTATTATTGTCTATATAATGTATGTTTATTTTAAACAAATAACACACACACAAAGAAAGAAAGAAAAAAAAAAAAGGAAGAAAAGGAGAGCAGGATAACCAGTTGTAAGAAATGACACTTTCCTCAGAAGTACAGTCGAAGCTGCAACGCCAGGTGGAGTTTTATTTCAGCGATGTGAACATCCAAAAGGATGTATTTTTAAAGGCAAAGATGGCAGAGAATGCTGAGGGTTTCGTTACCCTAGATACACTCCTGACATTCAACCGTGTGAATTCCCTCACGAAGGATGTGAAGGAGCTTGCGGAGGCACTGCAGTCAAGTGAAGCTCTTGTGCTGAGTGAGGATTCCCTCATGGTGCGACGCAAGAACCCTCTTCCGGAGTCTATTCAAACGGACCATCAAACCGTATATGTGAAGCCTGTTCCCCCAACCGCCTCCTTGGAAGATCTCACCAACTTCTTCAACAAGCATGGAAAGGTACTGGCTGTATGGCGCCGTTACTTTCCTGGTAAGAAGGATGCGGCACCTGAGGCCCGCACGAAGCCTTCCGTCTTCGTAGTCTTCAGTACAAAGGAGGAGGCGGAGGGATTTAAAGCGGCCCCACCCATGTACGACGACGTTCAACTCACAGTGGAGATGAAGACGGAGTATCTGGAGAAGAAGGCAGAGGAAATAGCTGCAAAGAATAAGGACAGAAAGAAACAAAAGGATAAGTCATCAGCGGAGACAAGTGAAGTGAAGAAACATGTGGTGGCGATGCCTAATGACAGCAGTTATCGTATTACCGGTTGTGGTACAATGGAGAACTTCTCCAGTGTAAAGGGAATTTGGCCTGTGGAGGAGCAGAAGGGTATTCGCTATGTGTTTATGCCAGATAGTGAAACTGCTCTTCTTATTTTTCAAGATGCCGCAACAGGAGAGAAGATGGTTTCAGATCTTAAACAACGCTGCACGACTCTGAATGGTAAGCAGCCGGAGGTGCAGAAGCTTGAGGGTGAGGATGAGAAGAAATTGCTGGAGAATGTGGAAAAGGAAATTGCGGAACGGGCAAAGAACAACATGAAGGCCCGTGGTGGACGCGGTGGTCGTGGTGGGGGACGTGGACACAAACGCTCACGTGATTAGAAGATACATGTCTGTGTTTTTGTCTCTCTCTCTCTGTGTGTGTTGGGGTATATATATATATATATATATATATATATATATATATATATATTTGATAAATGATTCTTTGCTTGAATCTACTTGTCTGTGTGTTTGTGTGTGAGTGTGGAAGAGAGAGTCTCCCTTTTAGGCAATTTATCTATTCATCGTTGTGTGTATTATTGTGTAAGTATGTATCACTGCTGCGTGGGTGGTGTGAAGATACCTTTTTTCCTCCTCCCCCTTCCTCAACTCTTCTTCATCCATTTTAAGAGGATTTAAAGAAAGAAAGAAAGAAAGAAAGGAAAAAAAAAAAACAATGGGAAAAGGAAAATCAACCACCCTTCTCAGTGTTCCCTCTTTGTGTACAGAAAACACGAAATTAAATACAGTAACGACGCCACATTTCTTCTTGAGGCGTGAAATAGGCAATAAATAAAAAAAATTAAATTCGTTAAGCGTCTGCGGACATAATTAACTCGAAGAATAGAAGGAGAAGAAGAAAAAGGAACGAAATAATTTTGTTTTTCCTTAATGAAGTAAAAAAAAAAAAACATTGTTAACCGTATATCATCATACGAAATTATGGATTATATATTACTGAACATTATATAGAAATGGTAATGATTGTAAATATTATGTCTAATTTATGGAAAAGTGTTTCAAACCTTTCTTTTTACTTCACTCTTTTTTTTTTTGTTGTTGTTGTTGTTCTAGGAGTTCAAAATCAAGGTTAATAGTATACTAAAGTGTTAAAAACCATGTTCTTTTTATTTTTCTTTGCAAGTTAGTTAGTTTCTCACCTCGTATTGAGTTCTTTCCCCTATAAAGTGAGCAGCCCTAGGTACCAGTAGAAGAAAAAGAAGAAGAAAAGAGGGAACATGCAAACCGATATTAAAATATAATTAAAATGACATTTTCTCTCTTTCCTTTCTTATATGTGTCATCTTTCTATGATAATTGTCTTGTGAAGTATGTGAATTCCTTTTTTTTTTTCTTGTTGTCATTGTTATTGTTGTGTTTTTATCACGATTTGTTCCTGGTATTTCTTCTTTCCAATACCTTATTCACATTCGAAAGGCATCCTCTAAGAGAGGGGAAAATAAAAAGAATAGAAAAGAAGAAAAAAAAAAAGGAAGACTACGAAATATGTCTCAACCAGATGCCCCACCAGAGGCAGTTAATTACATGGATGTCAAACTGCACGATGTTCACAATATTCCTGCCAATTGGTGGGCTGAAGGGAAACCGCCTGGTTTCCCCGAACACCCATTCCGGTATGAAGTTAGCTTTACTATTGATGGTGAAAAAAAATACGCTTTTACACACGGTAGACTCTTATTACCATTGTCACAGTATGAATCATACATTGAAGGGGCTACACCTCCTCCGCTTCCCTCGATGGTAAATGATATGCTACAACATATTCGAGAGGTACCCGAGACTCCAGTGTTAACCAGTGGAACTTCTACAAGAGCAGGGGGTACAAGTACGAAAAGGACGGATGATAATGAAACCGCAAAAGATCCAAAAATTTTATGGGTAATAACTCCAGCAGCTGATGCAGCAGCTTCTGCTGCAGAAGAGCAAGGAGGAAGACGACGAAAGAAAGGTCTTGCCGCTTCAACGACGGAAGAAGTAGTAACAGCACCTTCTATACCTAATGAAGATGATTTACCACCCTGTGTTATTCGTGTACCATTGTATGAAGATGATGTCACAGCATTGGATACTATGCTTTTATCCGGAAGACCATTACAGCTACACTTCACACGTGTGTTAAAAGGAGATGCACCGCATGACTGGGAAGATCCACAGGAATGGTATTTTCGTGCTGATATCCCTGTTGATCTCTCACCATTGGCAGAACCCGGATCACTGCAGCTTATGGAAGATGTACCACTGTTACCAGTAAAAGATCCTATGCATATGGAGGAAAAGGTAAAAAAGAGAGTCTCTAAACGACCAAAATCAGGTTCTCCAGGGTTACTCTTTGAGGAAGTTGATGTAGAAGCTCAACACCCCTATGTTGTTCATAACACCTCAGCAACCGTTTCTGTACGTCTTGAAAAAACTCTTACACGACTGGCAATGGATCGTATACGTCCTGCTTTAACACCAGCTAATCTAATCCCTACACGAGCACTTCCAAAAAAAGAGTTTCAAGATACTACAAGACAATTTACAGATGTGATAGAAGCAATTGCGAAAAAATTGATGTATGATTACAGGGATGCTAAGAAAAATAACAATGAAGCAAGTAAGGAAAGTATTTTTGCCACATTTCAGACTACTGGACAATTAGCAGCATATAAAGAACAATTAACACCACTAGTTGTAAAAGTGGTACGTGAGAAATTTTTACGTGAACCTGATGCTTCACAAGAAGCTATTGGTCAACTTACAAATGAACTTTATGTTTATCTCTTAAATTGTGTACATGCCAAGTTACGTGATTTAACAGAAGGTTCTGATTATGGTACAAAGAGTAACAGTTCTGGAGTCCCAGTAATGACAGAACAACAAGATTCATCATCTGGTATTACTGGAGCCATGTGGTTAGAACGAGCGGAAGAAGCTGAGACACTACGTGAATATGGACTTGCTGCCCAATGTCATCAAGCTCGTATCGCTACTTGTCATTCTCCAGAAGAATTTCCTGATCTTTGGAATGATGCTGCTGCATTTTTTGCTCGTGTTGGTGATGCAACACGTGCTGAACAATGTTATCGAGAAGCTATCGCATATAACCCATTACATGTACCTTCTTTACTTGGATATGGTGATCTTCTTCTTGAGTACAGTCGATTTGATGAAGCTGCTGTTTTTCTTCATGCTGCAGTGGATATACAACCTAGTGCTCTTTCATGGGGTCATCTCTCGCTTTTATGTGATCTTCATGTCCTGGCATTAGAACAAGGACCACAGTATGAATCCAAACGGGCACGTTGGGAACGTGAGGGTATGTTAGCCATGAAAGAAGCTATGGGTGCCACAGAGGAAGTAGATTTTAATGATGTAAACCTTTCAGTTGCTGAATATCTTTTACAACTTCACCATACGGATTTGGCAAATGTTTGTCTTTCAAGATGTCGTCCTGGTGGTAGGACAGAAGTATTGTATGCTCGATTATTTGCACTCTGTGAAAGGTACGAAACGGCCCTTGGTTCATTAAAAGATGGAGAAAATCTAGAACCATTTGCAGATGAAATTAATATTTTAACTGGAGATTGTAATGCTGCTCTAGGACGTAGAGAAGATGCTATTTCTGCATACATGCGTGTACTATGTCGTGAAGGTGAAACTCCTAAACGTTGTTTTGGTCCAAGTTATATTCATCTTGGTAATTTACTCATTGGAGCAGGTCGCTATAATGATGCCCTTGGTGTATTTACACTTGGTATTCAAGCATGGCCATGTAGTGTCATGTGGCTTGGGGCAGGCATCGCCTACTACCGAATGCGAAAAATAGATGCCGCTGAAGAATGTCTAAGTGAGTCCAATACACTTAACAACAGTAATCCACGTACATGGGCATATCTCGCGTTGGTATGTCTTCGAAAGGAACGAGCAGAACTTGAGGTGGTGCTTCAACAAGCTATTACACAAGGGCTTTCTGATGCCGCATTGCTTACTGAGCTTGGTCGCGATCTCGTACGGGCATCTCGATTGAAGTTAGGTGAATTATGTCTGCGAAAGGCATTCGCTCTAGAGCGTGAAGCCGGTCGGGCAACATCAGAGGTAAGTTGTACCTCTATGTATTACTTGGCTGGTGCACTTGAGGGAAACCAGCAACGTGAGGCGAAGGAATTGTATACAGCTGTGGTGAAACAGAGTAAGAATGAGGTGCTGCGGGCAAAAGCGGAGGAAGAATTGCATAACCTCTCAATGTGATACGTCAGCGTGAATTCATATTTATATATATGATTATGTATGTAAGATAGAAGAAGAAGAAAAAAAAAAAAAGAAAAAGAAACGATGAGAGTAAGAAAGAGAAATACGATGGGAAACTTGTATCTGTTTGTGTGTGTGTGTGTGTGTGTCTGTCTTTCTCCCTTTTTTTCTCTCTCTATATTTCTCTCAATCTGTATGAATGTCAATGTTTCTGATTGATGTTACCTATTATATTTGGTTAACAACTGATCCACATAGTGCACTTATCTCCTCATTTTCCCTTTCTTTTTTTTTTTCTTCATCTTTTTCTTGGTTGTGCGAACCATTCCCCTTTTCTTTAGTTTTTCAAGTGTAGAGGCCAGACTTTAATTACTAAGATCACTTATCTCCTATTGTTACCATTGTTGCTGTTGTGTAGTTTAGAAAATACAACAAGTAGGTTGGATAGCAAAGAAAGGAAGCAAAAGAAAAGTTTTTTAAAAAGTACAGCAATTTTTTATTCCCTGTTGTGTGGTTTCTGTGTTTTTTACCAGTGTTTCTAGAACGAGGAAAAAGAACACAAGGGAAAAACAGACAGACCAACTGAGAGAAAAATAGGGAAAGAGTAAGAAAAGGAACATTATATATATATATATATATATATATATATATAAGTTATTTATTTGTATAGCATAGTAGAACAAGAAAACTGCATACGCTCGGTACAAATTATTATTTGTACATATTGATCATATCTGTATTATTGATTCGGAAAAACAAGTGACGTATTTGTCACACCATTGTCGTTCGTTATTGGTGTATATAAAAAAAAAAAGAGTAGAATATTCGACTCGTATCATTGTATTTTTTTTCATTGTACCTTCATTCCCGTTCGATTTGTAGATAATAACCTTGAAATATCTGTCACAAGATACATAATTACATTGAACGAGAAAAAGAGAAAGTAGAGAAGAAGTGTGTGGGATTGTGTCTGTGTGAGAGAAAGAAAGAGAAAGAGATAAAAGAAGTAAAATATTCTGTAATCTTATTTTTAACGATATATCTACGTCTACCTGTCATATTTGGTGTGACCTTATGACGTCATTATACAAGAATGAATGTAAACTTTTCCCCAAAGGGGCTGTTGTAGCGTATGAACGGTTGGATCGTGAAAACGCCAGTGGGTGGAGTTGGACTCTTGGTACAATACAACAGCACAAGGAAAATGAACACACTTGTGTGGTCCGCTCTTGGCAACCCGAGTCATGGAACGTTGCAGGGAGTGGTAGTAGTAGTAGTAGTCAGAGGAATAATAATAATAATAACAACGTCATTCAAGCTATTCTAGAGGAACTAAATCGTGTGAACAGTCGCATGAAAGCAGCCCAATATCGTTTGTTGGACGCGGAAGAAGATACGAGTAAGCGGAGCCAATCTCCTCCTACTCATATTAGCAGTGATAAAAGTTATAAAAGTAGGAAAAGCAGTGTTTCAGAGTCATGGTTACACCCTGGCCGTGGTCTCACAGATGAAATAAGCAAATGCTTACGTGAATTAAAAGAATGCCGTTCCAAAACAAAAGACCTTAATGACGAACTCCAGCGACTAAGAAATTCATCCTCTGGAAATCCTACTGTTACATTTTTTAAGCGGTGTGGTAATTCGGAAGAGACTATTCTTGCTTCATCTTTAATAAAGATTCTACCTGTAGATACGAATACATCCGTTTGCGTCATGACAGCAACAGAAGCAGCCTCCATTGATGAGGAAGCTCAACCTCTTCGTGCAGAATTACTACAGCAACTTGATCGCTCCAGTGAGGAATTTCTTGGTGCGGTGGCAGAACTACGTTCTCTGCAAGCGTTTAGCGATGAACTTGAGTCTCGAATGGAATTGTGTCAAGATGTTATGATTAAACTCGCCAAAGCGTCTAGTAAATCTGAGACGCCACATTCACCAAAGAGTGTGACTCTGTCGGAAGTGAGGCAGCTGCGGGATGAAGTGATGGGAATGGCACATTGGAATTGGCACCACGATCAACAACAACAACAACATCAATCAAGTAAGGGTGTCAAGACGAGGCATAAGACATGCTTCACCTGGCCTATGGCAGATATGCTCATCAACAATAAGCCAGAGGAGCTGCTTTCAACATTCACAATAGATGTAGCCCAATGTCTAAACGCTCCGCTGGATTGTGTGAGTAACGTATGCTTTGAAGTCGCACAAACAGGGCTTGTAGTAACTTTTGACGTTTACCATCCGAACCATATAACGAAAAGCGAGGTGGATGCACGTCTATCTGCTTACCCCTTCTTACTACTAGAAAACTTATATCGCAGTGCTGAAGAACCAAAAAAAGGACTCGATCTAGCAATTGAAGAAGTTTGTCGTGCATTGGGTATCGACGAGAGAAAGTACAGTGGTATGCGATTCAAGGAGTTTATTGAACAGCTTTCGGCATTAAGCTCATCATCTGACAAAGATGCATATGAGAGTGAAATTGGCGATATGCTCATGCTCATCGACAAAATGCACAGCGAAAATCGCTCCCTCCAATATACACTCGCAAAATCAACTGAAGAATTCAGAAAGCAAACTGCTGAAACTCAGCGAGAAAGGGAATACCTTAAAATGAAGAATGCTGACCTCAACGAAGAAATTGAGCGCCTCAACAACGTCAACGCCAAACTACGAGAATTAGCAGACCGACTTGAAGGAGACCTTCAGTCATTTAACCTGCAACACGCTAATATTGAACGAATACGTGCACAGCGTAACCTCAACAAAAACGAATCAGATGATGGAAGCCTCTACTGCATCACACTTCAGGAATATAGCGATGAAAAAGAACGTGCGCAGAACCTACAAAATGAGCTAAACGAAGCGAAACGCAACTATGACGAACTCAAGCAGATACTAAATGATAAAGAAGCTAAGGAAATTCAAACAAATAATGAACAAAGAAACAGAGAAACAGACGCTAACAATGCAATACACGAACTCCAACAACAAAACAATGACCTACTTCAGAAACTAGAAGAAGCTATGGAAGAAACAAATAGAATGGACTCGGAACTAAAAGAGTTCCGCCGTAAGCGCTGTGAGGCTCTGGAGTTGCGTGAACACGACGGCCAGCTGGAGGTGCCCACCACGTTCTTGCCACCTGCACAGGGTGCGGAATGTCCTGTGGACCCCGAGGTTATCGCAGGTGAACCGCTATATTGCGTCACAATGGACGAGCTTAACCA